CCTGCTTCAGGAACATGGAGGTGCCTTTCTCGTTCCCCTCACGTCCACCTGCCTGGGAGAGGGGAAGGAAGGAGGTGAAATCCAGGCTGGCAGCAGTGCCAGGAGCTGCTCCAAACACCAACCTGTCCTGCCACTGCCCAAACAGCCTTGGCAGGAGCCACTCAGCGTGGCTGTGGGGTCAGCTGGAGGCAGGAGGGAGGCTGGAGGCCTGGTGACACCCAGCACCATATTTGCAAAAGAGAAAATTTCTGTGGGGAACCCTTCTTGCTGTGCTGGCATTTCCTCTGCTGGGGAATTCAACATTCTGACAAAGGTTATTTCTTACATTGGGCTTTCCTGGGGTGTCTCAAAATATTCACCAGAGCTGAGGGGGCTCAGCCTGGAGAAAAGGAGGCTCAGGGAGGACCTTGTGGCTCTGCACAAGCCCCTGCCAGGAGGGGACAGCCAGGGAACAGGGACAGGACAAGGGGAAATGGGCTCAGGCTGGGCCAGGGCAGGCTCAGGGTGGACACCAGGAGGAATTTCTGCATGGAAAGGGTGCTCAGGCCTTGGCAGGGGCTGCCCAGGGAGGTGGAGGTATCCAGGGAAGGCCTGGATGTGGCACTCAGAGCTCTGGGCTGGTGACAAGGTGGGCATTGGGCACAGCTTGGCCTCAATGATCCTGGAGATCTTTTCCAACCTGAAGGATTCTGTGATTCTGTGTATTTATTTGAGTTCTCCTGCCCTGATGATGACATCAATAAAAAACCAAAAAGCCACAGGGGTGTCTGGAGTTCAGAGCTCCTGCTCTGGTGTCCGGGGTGCTTGGGGCACAGAACACACTGTGGACACCCTGCTAGGAGACAACGTTGTAGGGCAGCAGGTGGAACAAATTCAACCTTTTCTGTTCCTCCTCAGACTCTGCCCTGAGCATCTGGGGCTGTTTAGCAGCTCCCCTGGGGCTCCTGTCCTTACACAAGTTTGGGTTCCAGACACTCCCTGGGGGTGTCCAGGAGCTGGGAGGGTCTGTGCCCCGTGGGAGCTCATCCTGCACGGAATGGTGCTCCCAGAACCTCCCCAGACGGCCTGGCCTGTGCCCATGCCCGGCAGCAGAGCCCCCAGCCCTGCCCTGGCTGGGGAGGAGCTGCAGAACACAGAGCAGATTGTTCCCAGTGGCTCTGGGATGACAAAGGCCCTTCCATCCCCACGGCAGCACGGGCTGGGCCCTGCTCTGGGAGGCTGTGAGTAACCAGCCAGGCCAGTGTGTCACTGCTCTGCTCCTGTTGCACAACTGCCTGCGGATTCACAGCTCCCCAGCAGTGCTGCTGCAATTCCTGCTGCTCACTGGTCCTGCAAAGGCCAGCAAGAGGCTGCCGGGCCCTGCTGGCTCTCCCTTTACACCTCATTAGCCCCAATTTGGTAATTTCTCCTCATCACAGATCAGTGTCCTCCGGGGATCAGCACAGTAGATCCTGGGGAGGATGTGTGGGGAGAGCTGTGGGAGCTGTTCCACCCCTGCCTGGACATCTCCAAATCTCCCAGTCCTGCAGGGATGCTCTCCTGACTGAGCCACCAAGACCAAAGGTGTCTTTGTCCTTGGCCAGGCATCTCCTGAGGGATTGCTTCTCTCATGGGGTAACATTTAACAATTGGAAACAAGGGCCAGCTTACACAGCACACAGAAAACATTTTGTATCGCTTGCAGAGGGACGTGTGGGATTCTCAGGAGGAATTCCTGCATGGAAAGGGTGCTCAGGGGCTGCCCAGGGAGGTTTGGAGTGCCCAAACCTGAAGGTGTCCAAGGACATGGCACTCAGAGCTCTGGGTTGGTGACAAGGTGGGCATTGGGCACAGCTTGGACTGGAAGGTCTGGGAGGGCTTTTCCAACCTCAGGGATTCTGAGATTCTCCAGGACCCCAAAGACAACCTTCCTTGGAGCACTGAAGTCCATGAGCAATCTGCCTAGGACAGAAGGCTCTTGCAAACAGGGCTGTGACCCTGCAGAGCTGACAAAGCTCCCAGGAGTGCCTGGAGCCCCCTGGAGCGTGGTGCCAGCCTGGCTCAGTGGCATTGCCTGTGCCACGGGCACTGGAGCTCTCCACGGGCACTGGAGCTCTCCCCTCATCTCTGCTCAGTCACAGAGGAAGTGTTTGTGCTCTGCTCGAGCAAAGAGCTAAAAATAACCCCGTGTGTGTGTGTGCTGTGGCTGCTGTGTGTGCTGTGTCAGCGCTGCAGCTCAGCCGCCGCCGGGGCTCAGGGGACAGGGACAGAGGCCAGGGGACAGGGACAGCGGGGGCAGCAGCCTGCACAGCCAGCAGGGTGGGAACCAAAACAGCAAATACACCCAGCCCTGTGTCACAGCTGGGCCTGGGAGGGACACAGCCTGCAGGGAACCTTTGCACAGAATCCTGAGGCTGGAAAAGACCTCCCAGAGCATCCAGTCCAGCCTGTGCCCAGTGCCCACCTTGTGCCCAGCCCTGAGCTCTGAGTGCCACATCCAGGCCTTGGAGGCCCAGGAGGCCTCCTCCTCCCTGGGCAGCCCCTGCCAAGGCCTGAGCACCCTTTCCATGCAGAAATTCCTGCTGGTGTCCACCCTGAGCCTGCCCTGGCCCAGCCTGAGGCCATTTCCCCTTGTCCTGTCCCTGTTCCCTGGCTGTCCCCTCCTGTCAGGGACTTGTGCAGAGCCACAAGGTCCCCCCTGAGCCTCCTTTTCTCCAGACTGAGCCCCTTCCCAGCTCCCTCAGCCCCTCCTGGGGCTCCATTCCCTTCCCAGCTCCCTCAGCCCCTCCTGGGGCTCCATTCCCTTCCCAGCTCCCTCAGCCTCTCCTGGGGCTCCATTCCCTTCCCAGCTCCCTCAGCCCCTCCTGGGGCTCCATTCCCTTCCCAGCTCCATTCACTGCCCTGGCCCTGCTGCCACCCCAGAGCTGGCACAGCCCAGGAGCCATTGGCCTCTGGCACACCTGGGCTCAGGCCCAGCTGCTGGCACAGCACACCCAGGGCCCTTTCCCAGCCTTCCAGCCCCTCTGCCCCCACATGAGTTAACTCATCCTGCAAACAGTGGGAAATTACTGGCAGCAGCATACTTAATTATGACAGCAAACTGCAGTTGGCAGTGTGCTGGATCATACCATGGGACAGCTCAGGATTCAACGTGAGAGGAGCATTGGGTCTGTGATGGGGCATCTGCAGCATTTCCAGGGCCTTCAGTGCTGGTTCCACAGCCTGGCCCTTGCAAGAAACTTTTCTCCCCTGTGTGGGAAGAGCAGGAGCTGTGAGGGAATTCCCCATGTCCAGGTTGCAAACACACGAGGTGCAGCAGGTCCTTGGGCTCCTCATGCTGGGTCAGCACCTGAGCCATCCCCTCCAGCTCATCCAGAGAATGCTGCTGGATGAGAGGCTGGACATGCCATGGCTGTGTGTGCTGGCACCTGGAAATCCCCCAGTCCTGGGCTGATCCCCCAGTGTGGGCAGCAGGAAAGGGGGGATTCTGTCCCTGTGCCCAGGTGAGAGCCCACCTGCCCTGGGCACTCCAACAGCACAAGGACCTGGAGCTGCTGGACAGAGCCCAGAGGAGCCACCAGAGCTGCTCCAGGGCTGGCAGAGCTGGGGGTGCTCACCTGGAGAGGAGAAGGATCCAGGGAGAGCTCAGAGCCCCTGGCAGGGCCTGAAGGGGCTCCAGGAGAGCTGCAGAGGGACTGGGGACAAGGATGGAGGGACAGGAGCCAGGGAATGGCTCCCAGTGCCAGAGGGCAGGGATGGATGGGATCTTGGCAATGAGGAATTGTTCCCTGGCAGGGTGGGCAGGCCCTGGCACAGGGTGCCCAGAGCAGCTGGGGCAGTCCCTGGATCCCTGGCACTGCCCAAGGCCAGGATGGACACTGGGGCTGGGAGCAGGCTGGGACAGTGTCCCTGCCATGGCAGGGGGTGCAATGAGATGGGTTTTGCTGTGCCTTTCCAGCCAAACCTTTGCACGCTCCCGGCCCTCTCCGGTTTCCCCTCAGCGCTCTCTCCCCCCTCACGCCTGCGCCGCCAGGGGGCGCCTCCTGCCCCGCCCGCGGCCGCGCTCCGCCCCGTGCAGTGACGTCACTCCAACCCCTGGGGAGGAGGCGAAAGCAGCCAATGGGAGCGCTGAGAGCGCAGCGAGGGGCGGGGCTTTCGCCGGCGCAAGGGCGGGGCCGACAGCCCCGAGGGTCGCGCGACCGCCGGTGACGTCATCACGCGGGGGTTCTGTGGGAGCGCACCTGAGCGGGGCAGAGCGCGGGAATGGCCGAGAATTGATTCCAAAAATCCCATCCAGCCCTGCCCTCTGGCAGTGGGAGCCATTCCTTGGCTCTTCTCCCTCCATCCCTTTTCCCCAGTCCCTCTGCAGCTCTCCTGGAGCCCCTTCAGGCCCTGCCAGGGGCTCTGAGCTCTCCCTGGATCCTTCTCCCATCCAGGTGAGCACCCCCAGCTCTCCCAGCCCTGGAGCAGCTCTGAGGGCTCCTCTGGGCTCTCTCTAGCAGCTCCAGGTTCTTGTGCTGTTGGAATGCCCAGGGCTGGGGCAGGTGGGCTCTCACCTGGGCACAGGGGCAGAGTAGCAGAATGTCCCCGTTTCCTGCTGCCCACTCTGAAGGATCAGCCCAGCATCCGACGGGTTTCAGGGCCACGGCATGTCCAGCCTCTCACCCACCAACACCCCAGAGCTGCTCTCCCTGTGCTCATCCCCAGCCTGGATGGATCCGAGGGTTTGTTCCCACCCAAGTGCAGCAGCAGCAGCAGCTGGTCCCGTTAAACCCCACGAGATCCTCGTTCCCGGAGCTCATCCATTCCCCGGGCCGCGAATCCCGGGCAAAAAAAAAAAACCCGCACAAAACAAACGAACTCCGGGGGCCGCGCGGTGACGTCACCCGCACCCGCCGCCCCGCCCCGGTGACGTCACAGCGGCGTACACGCGCGCGCGCCCCCGCCGGGCCTGCGCGGTGCGTGAGGCGGGGGAGGCGGCGCGCGCAGCCTCGGCAGCGCCTCTGAAGAGCCGCCGCGAGCCCCGGGGGAGAACCGGGAAGGGCCGGCGACGAGCGGGGCCCATCGAGCCGAGCGGAGCCCGGGCGGAGCGCGGGGTTATGAGGGCGGGCGCCGCCGCCTCCCCGTGAGGAGCCGCGGGCGCGGGGAGCGCGCGAGGCCGCCCCGCCACAGGAAGCCATTTTGTGGGCCCCCTCCTCCTCCTCCTCCTCCTCGTCGTCGCTCTCGTCCTCTTCCTCCTCCTCGTCCTCCGCCGTCGCCGCCGCCCTCGGGAGCGGCCGGGCCCGGTGAAGGAGGCGGCGAGGAGGGGCGGCGGCGGCCGCCGCGCCCTCCCCCATGGCGAAGAAAACCTACGACCTGCTCTTCAAGCTGCTGCTCATCGGGGACTCGGGGGTCGGCAAGACCTGCGTCCTCTTCCGCTTCTCCGACGATGCCTTCAACACCACCTTCATCTCCACCATTGGTCAGTGCTTTTCCGCCCGTGGCGGGGCTGCGGACCCCTCGGTTCCCACCGCCGTACCCCCCTCAGCTCCGGCCCTGTGTCACCCCCGGGGACCCCCGGTGCTCATCCCAGCCCCGTTATTGTGTCACCCCCAAGGGATCGCCTGTGTTATCTCCAGCCCCCAAGGGACCTCCTGTGTCACCCATCAGGAATGCCCTGTGACCTCCTCCTCCCTCCCTAGGGACCCCCAGCCCCCAGTGTCACCCTTAGGGACGGCCTATGTCACCCATCAGGAATACCCTGTGTCCCTTCTACGGCCCCCAGGGACCCCCAGCCCCGTGTTTGTGTCACCCCTAGGGACGGCCTGTGTCACCCCCGAGCCCCTCTCCTGTATACCCCCCCAGGGACCCCCTGTGCCACCCATCAGGACTCCCCAGGGACTCCCAGCCCCGTATTTGTGTCACCCCTAGGGACGGCCTGTGTCACCCCTGAGCCCCACTCCTGTATCCGCCCCTCAGGGACACCCTGTGCCACCCATCAGGACTCCCCTGTGTCACCCCCCAGGGACCCCAGCCCCATCTCTCCGTCACCCCTGGGGACGGCCTGTGTCACCCCCAGAGACCCCCTGTGTCACCCATCAGGAATCCCCTGTGACCCCTCGCAGGAACCCCCAGCCCCGTGTCTGTGTCACCCCCTTCCCCCACTCCTGTACCCCCTCAGGGACCCCCTGTGTCCCCCCCAGCCCCATTCCCGTGTCCCCCCAGCCCCATTCCCGTGTCCCCCTCCCGTCCCCGTGCTGAGCCCCGGCCGAGCCGCCCCGGTGCCGCCCGACGCCGCCTCGCCCCCGCCGCAGGGCAGGGCAGGGTGGCTTTGCTTCCTCCCTGGGCCCTGGGTGACCCTGGGCGACCCTCGCCGTCCCCCCCGCGGGGGCTGCGCTGCCAGCTCGTCCCCCCCGCCCCGTGGCAGCCGCCGGAGCCCACCTGGCCCCTTCCATCAGCGTTAATCCCGGTGCCTGCGGGGCGCTGGGCTCGCCGTGCCCGCTTTGCACCGCTATGGAGGTGCCTCGCAAACCATCGCGCTCGTGGGTGGGGTCTGGTTTCTCGCCCAACAGAGCTGTCCTTCCCCCCTCGGCACCTCCTGAGCGAGGTAGAGCCGCTGTGACATCATGAACGAGGGACGTGTCTTTGGCTTTTCCGTGCAATCTGTGCCGTGGGACAGGCCTGGTACCCAGTCCTTGCATCCCAGGTGTACCACAGGGCTTCTCCTCAACGTCTTTTTTTGCAGATGAACAGGTCAGCAGCTTGTCACCTTCCTGGTGACTGGCTCTGGAAATTAAGGGTCATTCCTTAATGAAAATGAAGGGTCATTCCTTAATGAAAATTAAGGGTCATTCCTTAATGAAAATTAAGGGTCATTCCTTAATGAAAATTAAGGGTCATTCCTGTCTCAGCTTTCTTGCAGCACCCACTGGTGTAACACATGCAGATACCCACATCTGGATAAAAAAGAGAATTATTTCGAGGAGTTTGAACTGGATCTGACTCTTTGTTTCTGCTGTAAATCCTTTAAATCACAGGTCATGCAGCTGAGGGAACGTGGAGTGTCAGGGTAGATCTTAGTGCTGGGTGTGAGTTCACCCCTGTGCACTTCCTTATCTGTGATGAAATATCACCCCAAAATTGCACCTCAGACTATAGCACACAAAAACACTCTTCTTAAGCAAGGCTTGGGAAATTTTAAGTGAAAAAAAAATACCCTTGTGACAGCTAAGAGAAAATTATTTCCTAAAGCCTCTCAGGGCCTCAGCTTGGCATTTTGGTGAATTTTGGGGCACTGTGTGACAGTGAATGTCCCTTCCCATGGCTCTGGGAGGCCAGATGGGTTTGCTGCTGTGGCCAGGGTGTATTTTGGCACTGCCTGGCAGATCCTTGCTGGGATCACATGACATTCCTTGCCTTTGGAGCTCGTTGGGAAGGTTTATTTCAATTCTCAAAGTTAAAAATAGTCAACGTCATAGTTAAAAAGTCAGCAGGCACGGTGGCTCCTGCTCCAACAACTCGTGCTTTTAATAATTAGTGATTTACTAATTAGTATTAGTTGCTGGTCTAACTGTGCAGTTTTGGGGCCTTCAAGAGGAGGATCACCAAGCTGAGTATGATTTGTGCACGTGCAGATTTTGGAAGTGTTTCCCACCAGTCACACCAGTGGCTGTTTGTTTGTGGAATGCCTAAACTGGAGGGCAGAGGTGTTTTATTCCCTGAATTCTGAATGAATGTCTGTGATGGTAGCTGTGACAGGGTTGTGTCTTCACAGTGGAACTTGGCAGGTGTTGGGGTACAAATTGATTTTCTGTGTGGTGTTTAACTTCCCAAAGATGCCTTAAGTGTGTTGTTTCCATAGTTTTCTGTAAGTTGATGTGGAAACCTAGAGGGAAGTGTCCTCAGTTGTAAGGGTGACCTCCATTAGCACCTTGGGAAAAACAGCCCATCCCTGAAGGAAGAATCCAAACACCGAGTTATCCAGGTCCACTCAGTTCTCTGTGTTATCTCAAACAGTGCAGCAGTGTGGCTGAGAATGGGATTTCAGTTTCCCCCTGCTCTCAGCACCTCTCACACCTGCCCAGGTTGGCCCTGTAGCAGCAGTGACAATCCAGGAACCTGGAAAGGGGCTTTCCATGGAGGGCAATGCCAGCCCTGCAGCTGGGAGAGCAGAGTTTCAGGGAAAGCCTCCCATGGAGTCTGTGACCTGCAGCAACGAGGAAATGCGGTTTGCAGAGCCCTGTGTACACAGTGGGTGACGGGAGGTGACTGTGCCTGGATCCTTGGCCGGGGCTCTCCTGTGTTTGAGTAACCCCAGCAGCTCTGGGCCCTGCCCTGGCTCTGCTCACAGCTCTGCCAACAGCCTGGGACACACCAAACATGTGCTGGGGTGTTTGCTGGGGGCTGGTTCATGGGATCCTGGAATGCTTTGGGTGGGAAGGGAGCTCAGAGCCCATCCAGTGCCACCCCTGCCATGGCAGGGACACTGCCACTGTCCCAGGGTGTCCCAGTGTCCAGCCTGGCCTTGGGCACTGCCAGGGATCCAGGGGCAGCCACAGCTGCTCTGGGAATTCATCCCAGCCCTTCCCCAGCTTCCCAGGGAACAATTCCTCATTCCCAAGATCCCATCCATCCCTGCCCTCTGGCACTGGGACCATTCCCTGGGTCCTGTGCCTCCATCCTTGTCCCCAGTCCCTCTGAGCTCTTCTGTAGGTTCCCTTCAAGCACTGAAGGCTCAATATTGAGTTTGCAATGAAAAGAAGGATCTCAAGGAATGTTGAAACTGGCCTCTGTCTAAGGAGGAGGCATGGGGAAAAGGTTTTAATTCTCTAAAACCAGAGGCCTGATTGCATATGTAAGGGAAGACACCCTAACAGAGCATTTCTGCTTCATGTCAGTAACTTCTGTCACTTCACATTTCATCTTTGCACATGGACCCTGCTCCATGGTGGCTGCTGGGAGGTGACTTACTGCCCTGTGATTTCCATAGTCTCACTTTGACTTTGAGTCACTTCAATCTAACATTTCCTGCTGCAGCAGCAGTTAAGCTCCTGGATGTGCTGAGGTGCCAGCCTGAGCGACTTCATTGCCCCTTCTCAGGCACTATAAATATTGCAGCTGGCATTTCTGCCAGAAATCCCAGAGTCATGGTAACCTCCCTGGGGAGGCCAGCCTGAGCCTCAGCCCTGCCCTGCTGTTTGCAGGTGCAAAAGGAATAAACCTTGGAAGGCTTAGTCCATCACAAATAATTTTAAATTTTAACTGTTCTGCAGCGATTTTCTGGTGCAAAAATCATTTTTATGGTATTTGGTTTTGAGAACTGTGGTGCTTGAGGTCAATGAGTGGGTGCAGCTGCCCCTCTGCCACTGCTGCTCCTCCTCATTTTAGTGCTCTCCCTGCTACCAGCAGATTGTCTTTGTTTTGAATGTTAAAAATGAGTAACTTCCAGGCAGCATATCCCTGAGATCTTATTTTTTAATATCTTTATTGGCATTCAGTGTGTCAGTTGTTGGTGGTTTGAAGGGAGCTGTGTATAAAGGATCCAAAGGAGCTGTGCACACTTTGTGGAGCTCCTTGAGGTCCAGCCTTTGGCACCTGGCACAGGTAGGGAGGGAGTTTCTTCTGGCCAGGATGGCTGCTGAAGGATTTAAATGCCAGAACTGAGCCTAAGCATGTAATCACTGTTGTCTGACTAAGTCCAATGCAAATGAAAGTGAGTCACAAAAATGTTTTCCCATGAAATCTCTAGTAACAGCTCAGGAGAGCAAAGGGTGTGTGAGCATTGGGAGATTTCCTATCCCAGTGCTCCTGGTGGAGGTAAAACTTCTCTGGATCTTTATCCATCCCCAATGTTCTGATGGAGGTAAAACTTCTCTGGATCTTTATCCATCCCCAATGTTCTGATGGAGGTAAAACTTCTCTGGATCTTTATCCATCCCCAATGTTCCTGATGGAGGTAAAACTTCCCTGGATCTTTATCCCTCCCAGTGCTCCTGATGGAGGTAAAACTTCCCTGCATCTTTATCCCTCCCAGTGCTCTTGGTGAAGGTAAAACTTCCCTGCATCTTTATCCCTCCCAGTGCTCTTGGTGAAGGTAAAACTTCCCTGCATCTTTATCCCTCCCAGTGCTCCTGATGGAGGTAAAACTTCCCTGGATCTTTATCCCTCCCAGTGCTCCTGAGTTTGAAAAACAAGTGATTTCAGGATTCAAATAAAGAATAAAGTGCTCCTGATGGAGGTAAAACTTCCCTGCATCTTTATCCCTCCCCAGTGCTCCTGATGGAGGTAAAACTTCCCTGGATCTTTGTCCCTCCCAGTATTCCTGATGGAGGTAAAACTTCCCTGCATCTTTATCCCTCCTGGAGGTGCAGCTGTATTTTGTATTCCTGAGCTTTACTCACCTGGCTGCAAGTCTACAAATCCAGAGATAAAAACCAATGATTTTTGAGGTTTGTTTTATTTTGAGCACAACCAAAGCTGTGC